TGCCGAGCAGGGAGCCCGATGTGGGACTCGATCCCGGGACTCCAGGATCATGACCTGAGCCAAAGGCAGTCACTTAACCAACTGAGCCACCCAGGCACCCTTACATATCTTTCCTTACTGATTTTGTCTGCTTACTCTGACACTGATTTCTCCTTGTGATTCTTCCATTTTTTTCCCTTACATTTTGAAGCCACACTATTAGGTTCATATTTAAAATTGTTAAATATTCCTGACAGACTGAATTTTTCTACGTGAAATATCCCTTATTCTCTAGTAATGCTTATTTTCCTGAAAGCCAATTTTTGCAATTTTGTGCAGATTATCTTTTGCCCATCCTTTTAGTTTCAAATTTTCTGAATTCTTATGTTTGTCTTTATGTTTAAAAGTTAAGGAATACACTTAGAAGTAGTCCACAGTTCAAAGAAATCAGAATGAGAATTAGAAAATATTCTGAGTTAAATAACAAATATACTATATATCAAAACTTTTCAGATGAAGCTAAAGCCCTATTTAGGAAGAATGTTATCATTTAAAAGTGTACATTATAAAGGCTGAAGTTAGTGAGCTAAACATTTTTTCAAAGGGTTAGAAAAAAGAACAGCAACTTAAACAGAGAAAGAACAAAAATAATAAAGGTGAGAAATGAAATTAATAAAATAAAGAACAAAAATAGAATAGGATCAGCATAGCCAAAGGTTGGTTTATTTTGAAAAAACTAGTAATGTTGGTAAACCTCTGGTGAGACTGGTTAAGAACACAAGAGAGAAGGCACAAATTATCAGTACTAAGAATTAAAATGGCAGTTATCACTACAGATCCCGCAGACATTGAGAGAATAATGAGGATATTATGGACAACTCTGTAATGAAAATTGGGATAACATGGCCAAAGCCCTCTAAAAATAAAACCCAAACTGACCAAAGAATAGAAAATATTAAATCACTAATTTCAAACTTTCCTAAAAAGCAAACTCCAGGCTTAGATGGCTTCACTAATAAATTCTATCAAACATTTAAGAAATAATTCCAAAGTTAGATGAACTCTACCAGAAAACAGAAAAAGAAGATATATACCTCATCACATTTCTGAAGCCAGAATAACCTTGATAACAAAGCCTAATATGGAGAGTACATAAAAAAAGTATGGGCCAATCTCACTCACGAAGATGCAAATATTCTGAACAAAACATTAGAGAGGGGAATCCAACAATACATAAAAAGGACAATATATCATGACTTAAAATTGGGTTTATTCTAGGAATCCACATTAACAGATTAATGAAAAAAACCTCTTAAGATCACCTCAATCGATGGAGAGTGAGTGTATGGTAACATTCAACAAATATTCATGGTAAATATTTTTAGCAAACTAGGAATAAAAAGGAACTTCCTTAATCTAATAGAAGACATCTCATTTTTAAAAATCTATACTATACATCATAGTGAAATGTTGAAAGAGAAATCAGGAATATACAAGGATGTCTACTATCATTGCTTCTATCCAACATTGTACTTAAAAGGACATGGCCAGTATCATAAAGTAAGGACAAGAACTACAAAGCAGAAAGATTCAAAAGGAAGAAAGAAGAGTTATTATCTGCATATGGTATGACTGTGTATGTAGAAAATCCAAGAGGATGTAGAGATACACTATTAGAATAAACTTAGCAAAGTTACCAGACAAAATTAATTACACAAAAATAAA